TATTAACTGGTTAATGTACATGGCAGGCTGTGCTATTCATGTAGAAAACAGCAGCATCTAGGACAGAGGAATAAGAGTGGCAGTATGAAGTTTTGTGAGTGCCTAGTGTCTGAAAGTCTGTGAGCATGACCATCTTATTATTTTGTCCCTAATTTCATAAAATATCTTGAGTTTACAGTGTCTCCATGATATCCTGGGAGAAGACATGTCCTCTTTTCCATGAGCCATAGTGAAGAGAAGATGCCACTTTATTCTTAAAAGTAATGTGATTAGATTATCAGACTCACTAAGACTAATGACTGATTTTTATATTTTTTGCAAAATTCAATAATACTGATATTACAGGGAATGGCCAGCAACAATGTATCATTGTATTTATCCATTACTTATTCAGTTTGCAAGTACAGGGTAACCATCTGATACGATAGTGTCAGTGCAGCATATAGTTACTTTAATCTTTCTAAAGAGAATGCAAAATGCTGCCATTCTTACCTGGTAAGTACTAGGACTCCAAGCATAGAACATGAACAGGTTCAACACGGAGCTCCCAGCATCCCATGGTCAGAGAGATATGACTAAAATGATGCTGTGTGGAAAGATACAAAGTGTCACTCTCCTAGTCATAACTCTGTGGTTTGCACTAGTTCTAGGCAGAAGAGGGCAGGGACAAACTCTGAGGAGATAGGAGAATGGGGAAACTTGGAGGGGACAGCATTAGGAGCTAGAAATAGTGGGCGCATCCAGACAAACACGATCGTGCACATACCATATAGTCCAGTGTTCTCCGTGCTGCAACAGCATGCTGCCTAAGCATACGCTGTGTTTGGGGCGGGGGGTGGGTCTGCAGAAAAAAATACTGGTGCATTGCACACTTGGCCAGCATGCACTGCTGAGAAGTGAAGCCAGCTTGCCGGGAGCTGTGCTCCACTGCCAGCCAGGCTCCACGTGGCAGAATCTCTATGGCTGCAGTTGTGGGAGGCCCTGAGGATGCCAGGTAAGGCTGGTGGGGCCAGCCCACTGCTGACCCCAGCCTCTGCTACGCCACCTGGGGCAACTTGCCACGCACCCAAGCGCACATGGCATGGGCATTCTCCAGGGACAGGTAGCAGTGGCACAAGGTGCACTGCTGCTACTGTTGCCCTGTGGGGTCAGGCCAACTTTTAGGATCTCAATATTGCGTAACACAATTGCACATATACAAACACACAAATCAATTAGGTGCATACACATGCATACTACCAGCTCAGGCACATACACATTCAAACCAGCCTAGGCACATGCATACCTATTACCAATTCAAGCACATACTCTATACAGATCATTAATTCATATATTATGCGCACAATGCCATATACACACACTTACTCACACTAGCAACTCGGATACACACACATTCAAAATAACTAGTCCAGGTTCATGCACACCTATCACCAGTTTAAGCCCATCCATGCTACACGCACTAAATTTAGACAATCAGTTACCAGTTACCAACACCTGCACATCCAATACACATACATGGATTACTAATTC